AATTCCTATGTTTTTCCGAAGATCATTCAGGGAAGAGAAGAAGACATGGGAAAGAAGAGCACGGTTGTAAGTAGGCATCAATAGATAGATATGATTGGTTGACGAAGATTGGCTTCTTGGGCCCCCCGTAGGGCTATGTTGCTATGCTGCTAGAAAGAAAGGAAGAGTTCGATGTCCATCAGTTCGTGGTTTTAGAGATTGCTTACCAACTTTCATTCATATCTGAAAAGATCAAGGGTGCCAAAGCCTTCATTGATCCAAAGAAAGAAGCTGACACAGGCAAGACCTGGATGATCGAGTTATCATATTGACTTGGGTTATGCCAACTTGTGTTGTGTTTCATAATCAGAGCTACTTGTCCTTGCGTTGCCCAAGAGAAGTCATCTTTGCTAGGCTGTTTTTCGGTTGTCTAGCCATGCGTGGGAGCGAATATAACTCCAAAAACGTTCTGGTAGATGAGGGGAGACTTGCTGTATCCATTTCCCTCTTTGGCCAATGATTTGAGGAGCTAGCATCAGATGGTCTATCGTGGCCTTTTTATTAAAAAACGTATAAAATGAAGCGTAGATGAGACACTGTTTAGCGAGGAACTTGTGGAAGGCTTGGGCTATCCTCGTACTCTTTGGTGCTGACTCATTATTATTATGCAGCAATCATATCACTGTCTTTATCGACTCCATGCAAAACATGTTCATTGAATTTGATAGGCCTAAAATGGCTAACATTATGACCAAAACAACTAACATGCCAAAACTGGTAATAGGCCCGCGGATCTCTCTGGTTATCAATGCTATTTTATTGTGTTCTGTAGCCTTCCTAACCACAGGCGTGGATCCACAAGAATAGAACAAGCAACAAGAGCGTGCTTCCCTGCTTTAGGAGTTTCTTCCACCGATGTGCCTATAGGGAGATAATGACTCTCCTAAAACCCTTATTTGCGGTTAATTGTTAATTGGATCTACACTTTTGTTGGATCCACATCTTTGAAAGAAGACTAGTTTGGCACGGGCGGGCTAGAAAGACTTCGAGGATAAAAGCGATCATTCAACAGATAAGGTCCTTTTGGGTGACTCTGGATGGAGCAAATCTATAGCATCATCCAGTCTAGCGCATTCTAACCACTATCGCTTTCGTCTTGTAAAAGTGTAATAAATGCGACTATGAATTAGGGTCAGTAGACTAGAACTATAAATTGACCTGGCATCGACGCGTAGCCGCTCACCATTATGGTTCTATTGGTTCTCATCGAAGTATCTAATGGTTCTATTGGGGTTCTCTTCGAGATATCCAAATATTATTTGGAATTTACCACCCGTGTGGAGCCTTGAATGCGACTAAATTGGATCAGTCACACCGGGCGATCACTCTCCTGGAGAGCTCTTATGGCTCTCATGTGATAACTAACTCGCCTTTCTCAGAATCTTCTGAATCAGGATCCATGGTTGCGTCTGTTGGCAGTAGCACTTCTTCATTGTATTTGTGACTTGGCTTTGTGAAAGCTCCCGTTGACATTCTAACACATTAGAATTCTAATCTTTGATTATTTCTTAAGAAATTCGACCCGAAAGGCTTTTTAGCTGAACATAAGGAGTGGTGTGCGGACCCATAGGAAATTACCAATATATCATTAGATTAGTTACTTCCCACGCGCCAAACAGGCGTCACCGCACTGCCTCCCAAAGGCTTCTTTTAGGCTTCCCCACCACATCACACACTTTCTTGCTTTTGCTAATCCGATCCAGAAAAAACGAACATTCTCCCACGTGCTTTGGGCCTTGCAATAGCAGTAGATGCTACAGACGTGGTGTCATTATCCGCGATACCTCAATCGATCATAAGAAAGGGAATATAACCTGCCCCTCATTGTCCAGGTTTTCTTTGAACAACATCGGCCGGACAAGAACAAAGGTTTTCACCATCGTCTTTGGGCTTTGCTGGAACTATGTAAGGTTTACGCTCGTGACTTCACGAGATAGTGATTGTCAACATCCCACACAACTCTCACTCTCGCTCTGGCAAAAGGAAATGAATGTATCTACTCCATCAAACAACAGGAAAGCAGACACGCATCCTACCCGCATCAATGCCTCTGCCCTCTTGTATCTACATATCATGATATGGATACCCTTGGTCATTAATAAAGGGAAGATGATTTTAGCCGAGGTGATCGGACTAACACTGAGTGCATTTGTCCTGACTAGGCTTATTACTGTTCTTAGTGTTCTAAAGTGGGACAGGCGCTAGCTCTAGTAACCATTCTCCATTGATTGGAAAGGGCTTCGAAAGGCGTTTATGAAACTAAGAAAGCATAACTCTGGCTTAGAGTCACCCACCATCGAACCATCTCCAGGTCACAGTCACCCACCAGGAAGGCATAGAGGCAAGACAGGAAGTAAAGACAACAGGAATCGAACCTAGGAATAGTAAAATGATGATTCAAAGCGCTACCGGGATGCAGCTCTTGTTCAAGGTAGGTTAGTAGCTCTAGCCAGAAGTCAAAAAGCATTAGTTGGTGGTAGCCCTTAGGAACACGAGGAGGCTAATGTAGTGAAACTGGATGAGCAATGACGAGGCCCTTTCACGCTATCGCCCTGGATTGTTCACCTAGTTCAAAGAACACTCAGGTTGCTTAGAAAGCGTAGCATTAGGAGACACCAGGGTGTTAACATTCAAGAATGAGATCACACCAGTGGTACCAGAAGCTCCAAAGACTGTTGAAAACAAAGGGAGTGGACAAACAAAGAAGAGAAAGGAACAAGAACCCAGTCGTCGAACCAGTATAAAGCCCTAAGTGATCTGCTCTACAAGAGTATATTAACTCATGTTCGAAGTATGAACAGGGAAACCCGATACCTACTACCTTAGAAGAAAGAATTCTGGAAGAAATGAAGAAGAGCTGTTCGACAACGATCCTGACCTATCAATTCATGAAATTGGAGTTTGATGTTGTGTTGTAAACGAAATCTTCAGAGAAATGGAAGACAGGCAGAGTATAGATTAGTTCATCTGTCCACTCAATGAATTCCACATTCATATCCAATCTCATTTCATTAGCAAAAGATACCGCTATGCTCTAAATTGCTCTATTGACTTTGGATAGACGTGATCAAAACCAATATGCTTGGTTAGTTCATGCTTGACTGGATCATTGGCAATCTGAATAGGATTCAGAGTCTCCTGTACTGCCTTCATTCACTGCCAAGCTCTAGTAAATATCTAAGTGAGTAAGTTATGGATCATGGGCTTTTCCATCTCCTGCTTATGGCAATATCTGCTTCTTTTTAGCTGAAGACAAGGGCCCCTCCTATAAGGTATTTTGTAGTTGGTGGGAGCGCTTTGGCGCGAGAAGTGATAGCTATGGCTTAACAAGCATCAGCTGTTCGCACAAGCGCTGGTATCTTTATGTGTCCTGTGAGAAAGAGAAATAAGTGGATGGTATCGATCGAGGCAAGTAATAAAACATGCTGGGAAAACTGGAACTGACGGATGCAGAAAAGAAGGTACTCGCGATGGACGATCTTGACGATGACAATGGCACATCTCAGTCGCCGACTGTGTGTCAAGTCCATCAATTCCAAAGGAGTGGTTTGTTTGCTTCACTTCAGTTTACGATACTGTTCCATTGCTTCTGTGCAGTAAGAAGTTGGCAACAGGGATTTCAGATAGGTAGGTTCAGTCAACCCAAGAGAACTGTTGGCGTGATGAGCTAATGGGTATAGATATTTTTTGCAGGTTGGATACCATTGAGGTCAGTGCAGGTATAAGAAAGGCTGAGAGACGAGAAAACAGTTGTCCCGTGGCTATCAAATTAAGAACGATAACATGAGTTGTAGGTTCTCGTGCAATTCTGGGTCATGTGGCAAAAACAGGTCACTTGACTCAGTCTGTCACTTTCAGGCCATTGCACAAGCACTTATTAAATTGAAATAGGGGCATCCATTTTCGAGCTCTATCGCACTTTCCACACCTGTTGTGTACAATCATCCATGCATAAGTATAACAAAAGATTCGGATCCGGAAACCGAAACAAGACATAGTTGGATAGGTGCCATGCCCTGGTCCAGGGATATTGCTAGGACCAATAATAGGAATATCATTTCAATAGTGCTAGGAAGAAGCCCCTCGGGGCGTAGCAGTTGGTGGGGAGGTTGTTGTACCGCTAGCCCATATTCTGGCACCGATACGATGTCCTTTCGAGGAAGTGGTTCAATCAGAAATAAGGTGCGCGGATCAAAGCATTGAACGACAAAACCCCTTTTTAATGTGGATTTGATAAAGAGCAAGTCAATCCACCGTTTACGGATTGGAAAACATGGGCTATATACTAAACCTGGGATGGGATTCCACCACCCGTCAACCCTTTGCTTTGAACTGCTTTTCCAAGGAACCAAACTAGGCTAACTTGAATCTGTTTACTTGACTTCTATTTGAATCTACTCCTCCCCTCGGTGCATATTATCATATAAAAAGAAACGTTGCTATTCCATTGTGTCTTAGACATTTCACTGATGCGGGGCGGGGAATCGAGTCTATTTAGGAGTGCATTTCCCTAGCGGACGAGGTGATTGATGCAAGATCTTGTCAAATTGATTGATTTAGCTGGCGACAAAAAAGAGCATGAAATGCAACTCAAAAACGCGTATAGTAAGTAGTCTTCGTCGATGGGACAAATGCTCCAGTGTATGCGTTACGAGGCAACTAGCATTTTGTCATGGAAGTTCGTGAAAGAATGTTCTTGTTTTTCGTTGGAAAAACCAACGCCGACGTCAACATCAGTCTCCTTTCCTTTCTCTTTTCGGGAGCAGAGCTGAAAAAGATGGGAAATTCCAATGATTCTTCGTTCATTATCATGTCGATTCCTCACAATCGCTCTTTGTGATGCTGCGGAACCATGGCAATTAGGATCTCAATACACAGCAACACCTATGATGCAAGGAATCATTGACTTACATCATGATATCTTTTTCTTCCTCATTCTTATTTTGGTTTTCATATCATGGATGTTGGTTCGCGCTTTATGGCATTTCAACGAGAAAACTAATCCAATCCCACAAAGGATTGTTCATGGAACTACTATCGAAATTATTCGGACCATATTTCCAAGTGTCATTCTTTTGTTCATTGCTATACCATCGTTTGCTTTGTTATACTCAATGGACGGGGTATTAGTAGATCCGGCCATTACTATCAAAGCTATTAGAAATCAATGGTATTGGAGTGCGCCTCTTAAGAGGGTGATTTAAGTGCAACGAAATGTACCGGTGGTTCACGAAGCATCTGGCTTACCGGTCATCTCCCATTCCCGTCGTCGAGAGACTAAAAGAACTATAGCATGCTAGGAACGGGGAGTTGAGGTGGTTAGACCTATACCCCGAAATGCTCCCAGCATAGGAGCCTATGGTTCCATTCTTGTTACTGCTGGAGGTACACATACCTCTTCTCGGTTTGCTGGAGCGATATACGAAAAATAGATGCTAAGCCTGCAATGTCCGATAACGGGGCTTCAGTAGTGAATATATCGGCACGACAGCAGTGGCATACAACTTTGGACCTAAGGGCTGGTCCCGTTACCTTTCGGAATGGGGGATCCCCGTTGGCAACAACCACGGTAGTAGTTGCGGAACTGCTGGGCCAGGAGAGGACAACCTGTTGTTCCTGCTCCTCCTTCTTTGCTTCGGGGACGGAGGTCCTACGGTAGGTAAGAGCACGCACAAGCACTTGACCGAAGGGGACCAGCGCTTCTACTCCTCCACCGAGAAGCCGTTCTTGCGAGAAGCAAGGGATGTCGTGAACAGTGGGAGGTCAAAGAAAGAGAATTGACCCATGAATACAGCGATCCTATGATCTAGATAGACTCCGTCCTTTTATTTTTAGATAAGGGTGAGTCAAGAAATTTGGGTGGGACCTGCTGGCATAATGCAGGCTGGAACGTGGGAATTCGAGGTCTCATGAATGAGTTTTTTTTCGTGGACAAACATACTTTCCGGTCTTTTTTATGGATCCTTTTAGATCTATGGGCCGGCCGTTCACATGAGCATAGGGAATCTATACTCGAGCCTTCGACTTGGCCCCTGGCAGGATAGGTGAGGAATCACTCTTGAGATCTGATCTATTGGGGCCTACAACTTCGCCAAAGCCGACTAGCATCCCTTTCCGTGGTGAACTGGCCGTCCCATACCTTCATTTTGTCTCATGTGTGTTGAACATTGTCTTCCTCGGTTCCAGCTTCACTGATGTAGGTAGGGCTGGGCAAGAAAGGGTCCCCTCTTGCCTATTAGTAAGCAGGCCTTCGATTCCACCGGGGTCTTACAGTCTCATAGAGGGGGGAGAACTACCTAACTAAAGAAGAATAGTGCTCTTTATAAATAAGAGTAGGCGTGGAGAGCTTTTTGCGGGGAAACTTGCAAGTCAAGTTTGGGCGGAGGCGGGCGTCGACCTAACCTTATGAGTATTCGGACTATAACAGTTCCGATGAACAGTCACTCACTTTTGACAGTTATACAATTCCAGAAGATGATCCAGAATGGGGTCAATCACGTTTATTAGAAGCTAACAATAGAGTGGTTGTACCAGCCAAAACTCATCTACGTATGATTGTAACACCCGCTGATGCACCTCATGGTTGGGGTGTACCTTCCTCAGGTGTCAAATGTGATGATGTACCTGGTCGTTGAAATCTTACCTCCATCTCGGTACAACGAGAAGGAGTTTACTATGGTCAGTGCAGTGAGATTCGTGAAACTAATCATGCCTTTATGCCTATCGTCATAGAAGCAGTGACTTTGAAAGACTATGTGGATTGGGTTTCCAATCAATTAATCCTCCAAACCAACTAAACCGAGGAAGCTGAAGCAGAAATGCAATTCTCGGGTGAGGGAAGGGGGAAGCTCCAGGAAGGCTTCGCTCAGTCGCTCAAAAAGCTCCAACGCTCGTTTACAAGTGGAGCGCATAAGCCCTTATTGAAGTAGGGTGAGTGTTGGTGTCAAAACCGGCGGATCCCGGGTAGGGGGTCCCGAATTGTGCGTCTCGGTGGATGGTAACAGGAGACAAGGGACACGATGTTTTTACCCAGGTTCGGGCCCTCTAGATGGAGGTAAAACCCTACTCCTCTTGATTAATATTGATGATATGGGTAGTACAAGAGTAGATCTACCACGAGATCAGAGAGGCTAAACCCTAGAAGCTAGCCTATGGTATGATTGTTGTTCCTCCTATGGACTAAAACCCTCCAGTTTATATAGACACCGGAGAGGGCTAGGGTTACACAGAGTCGGTTACAATGGGAGGAGATCTACATATCCATATCGCCAAGCTTGCCTTCCACGCCAAGGAATGTCCCATCCGGACACGGGACGAAGTCTTCAATCTTGTATCTTCATAGTCCGGGAGTCCGGCCGAAGGTTATAGTCCAGTCATCCGGACACCCCCTAATCCGGGACTCCCTCAGTAGCCCCTGAACCAGGCTTCAATGACGACAAGTCCGGCGCGCAAATCGTCTTCGGCATTGCAAGGCGGGTTCCTCCTCCGAATACTTCATAGAAGATCACTACTAGGGAAAAGCCTATACACAGAATCTTACCAGCAGCGCTCCCCAAAATACCATGCTACTGCTATTTAGCAGCAGCGCGTGTTAGCGAAACGCGCTACTGACAGGAAAATAGCAGTAACGGGTCCACCACAAACCGCGCTACTGCTATAATTGCCATGACCTCACCCCCCGCTAGTTATAGCAGTAGCACACTATATTGAACAGCGCTACTGCTATAGAAGTTAGCAGCAGCGCGCTTATAGGAAAACCGCTACTGCTAAGATCAGCCCACAAGTTTAGTCCCACCTCGCTCCGTGAACAGGGTGTTTACCACCTTAAATATGTTATTTCTGAAACTACCACAACCAGTTGGTCTTCACTGAACTCTATGTGTAAAATTTGTGGCCGCAATATGAGTCCTCTCCGGTTCCTACCGGAGAGGATTCATATTGACAATTCAGATTGTACACAAAAAGATCATTGATGGCCAATGTATTTTTGCATTGACGTATTTTTTTGTATAGTTACACTTAGCAGTAGCGGTTTATGTGCAAAGCGCTACAGCTATTCAGATTAGCTGTAGCGCGTTTTGGTAAACGTGCTACAACTATCCCTACCTTATCCCCACGCGCACGACCGACCCTCACTCACACTCTCACTCTCGCCCCCCGTGCCGATAACCGTCGTCATGCGTCGCCGCCGCCGCCGCCTTCGTCCGTCCGCCGTCGAGGTACTCCCCTCCTTCCGTCCCTCCTCCCTCCTCCTCGCATATTCTCCCTCCGGCTCCGGCCACCCCTCTCTCCTCCGCCGCCGCCCTCCTACCTCCTCCTGCGGCCACCCCTCCTCCCTCCTCCGCCGGCAGCCCTCCTCCCACCGCCCTCGACCTCGCCGCCCCTAGCTACCTCTCCGTCGCCCCCACCCCCTGCAACTAGTTAGTACTAGATTTAGTAGTTGTAGATGTTAATTTAGGGTTCATAGCTAGTACTAGATGTTGCTTAGTTAGTACTAGATTTTTAGTAGTAGTAGATGTTAATTACTAGTAGTGATGGTACTAGTTAACTAGGGCAGTATGATTAATAGTAGTTGTAGTTGAACAAGTTTAGTAAGTAAATTAATAAACTAGTTGAACTAGTTGAATTAATAGAACTAATGTATTTTTAGTAAGATAATTAATATAACTAGTTGAACTACTTTATTTTTAGAAATAACTAGTTTTTTTCTATTTATAGTAAGTTTATATTTAGTAAGAACTAGTTGAATTAATAAAACTAGTTGAACATGTCATATTTGTTGTTATTTTTTAGTTTAAGCAATTATTCAGGATGTATTAGTGATAGCTTATATGGTTTCAGGTGACCACCGTCGTCCCCGTCACCGACCCCCTCCGACATCCCCGCCGTCGTCCCCGTCATCGACCCCCTCCAACATTCCCGCCGTCATCCCAGTCACCGACCCCCTCCGACATCAAGGTGAGACCAGCCAAATATCCTTGTATATCTTGTGTTGTTGCTCAAATAGGATATGTGGTTGCCCAAGTGGCCGATCATGTTCAGTTTACATCTCCGAGTGGCCTATGTTTTGCCGGAGTGTTGATTAATTTCCGTTCCGGCAAATTTCAGGCGCTCGATATGTCCTTTTTTAGCAAAGGTCATGCCGGATTTTTTCGTGAATTCTAGCATGACTTGTGCTAGAATATGTACAAGTTTAATCTTTGAATTATGAACGTAGGAAATGTCGTACTCGGACGACGACAGTCTCCCGGGGGAGTGTAGCTGGTGCCACGACGATAGAGGTATGTGTGAAAGGTTAGTTCAGCTGGACGAAGATCGGCGCTTCAGCATTAAGCTCGAGGAGACCTTTGATTGTGAAATGGTACGCAACAACGACAAGTGTTTTTTTCGTAATTAAGCATGACTTCAACTATTTCAATGTCTAATTTTCATATTTTACAATTCGACTAGCTTATCCCATGCCATGCAAGACGCTATATCTTGGAGAGGATGGGTTTTGAAGACCATGAAAATTTTGAAACAAAGAAAATACACCTAAGGACCCATCATGATATGGATTTTGAAGTAAATCTGTGCAATGCTCAGAGCGTAACCCATTTTGGTTGCCAAAATTGGGAAGCACTTTGCAAAATGTATGGTTTTTATGAGGGTATGATTGTCACCATGGATCTTGGTGATCCTGACATCGAGCAAGACAATATGGACATTTGGGTCCTTGTTAATACGCTTCCGGTTGTACCGCTATGTGAGTTTCTCAAACATAGTTATTAACTAATTTATATTGTTTATTTCAAAATAGTTGATAGCTTATTTCCATTGACAGCTTATTTTGATTCTTCAAAGACTGTGCGGAAGATGGTAGATAAAACCCACTACACCGATGGCACATAATTAACGTATAAGGAGAAAAATCATCTGATCGCATTTTGTACTCTTCTTGAGAATTACAATAACTATTATCGAACTCCTCCAAATTATGGTGAATACGTGCCACTAGTGCATGTGTTGAACCACGGTAACTTCTCTGGAGATACCCTGGTAAGATTTTTTACTATTACGATATCCGTGCATCTTTTGCATACTTCTAAAACTAGTACATCATTGCTAACTACGAAGTTATTATTATGTTTTTCAACAGAAACTCCTGATGGATTGTGTGCCTCATCTGATGTCTCTGCATGGTCGCCTCTCAGTTCTGAACATA